TAAATTAAGAATTAATTATATATCAAATAATATGATTATTTAATTATTTTGTCACATACTGTGGTGGGATCACAAGGGGCGTAAATACCACTATAATTTAGTTACTTGTTCTCCAGGTAATCCAGTTTACTTGATCAACAAGTTTTTCTAATTAAATTCAAAAGGAAAAGTAAAGTGTGATTTTATTTGGAATTGAATTTAAGCTAAAATTGAAAACTGGAGAAATTAGAGAAAAGATGGCCAAAAAGGAGACAATAGAAATTAGAAAAAAAGTGTTTTTTTCGCTCTCCAATTTACCTAAGGTGGCCAAAAATTCATAGAGAGAAAAAGAGAAGAAAAATTCTTTCAATTTTCTCAATTCTTTTACATACATGCGTTAATAGTAGAAGGATACTAAATTAGTGAGTGATCTGATAATTACTTTGAGCCCACACTCTACGTCTTGCAAGTTTCAAGAAGTAGACGAGGAAGACTTGGGTTTTCTAAAATAACTTTGAAGCTAGAATCGTTCGTTGGCCAAAAATCTCAAATTATCATCATAATCGTCGATAAGATATCTATCGTTATAAATTAATAAGATTAATTTATTATTGCATAAATTAATATAATTTATAATATATTTAAAAGATTTTATAAAAAAATTTTATTATACCCGATCTGCACTACTACGTTTCCGCATACAAAAACATTTCAAAAACCAATAGAGGCAATATCCGACACTCAATCGAGGTAATGATGAAACGCTACCGATAGGAGCATCAATTCCCAATAGAGAAAACACGGTGGCAACAACAGAGGAATAAAGAGAGGTGGCGAGAGAGGTATTTTTTCATTTAGAAATCTGCTTTAATAAGCATGCCTAGTTTGTTCTCTACTGTTTTTCAACGAGCTCTACTATTTTAAGTGTTTGCTTTTGGTATACTAAATTCTGGAGTTGTTAAAGTAAATTTTTCATTCACAGATCGTGATTCCAATCGAGCCATCACTCCAATCAGCATTAGAGCTAGTAGTCATATTGGCTTGGAACCTCACCAAAATTAGGTAAATCTTGAAAAAATTTGAATCGGGTAAGTTTTATGGTTTTAAAGTAACAAGTTAGATATTCACTTATTTATTGGTTATCGCATTACTAACTAATATGGTGTTTGGCTCACAGATTCAGAATCATGATTTAACACTATTTTTAATTTACGTGTATTTTTTATAAGAAAAAATATTATAATAAGCCGCGAACTATGATTCTAACTATGACACGAATCATCGTACTAAACACCTTATAAATTTTAAACAACGGAGACTGTGTAATATATGTAATCAAATATATCGAGTTGGACTTTGCAGGACTTGTTTTCGATGTGCTCAGAGATGATACCATTCCGTTCTTCAAATAAATGATGGCCATTGTCATTTTTTTTTATGATTTGGGACCCTTAAAGAAATATTTGTATTAGTATAATTATTATTCATATTCCTCTTAAATTGATTAGGTATTATAAATTTTGTGAATTTTTTATGAGAAATGTTGTCGTATTGGTATTTTGAGGGTGTAAACAATATGGTAGACTTGAGTATTAGAACTCTTTACTGTCTCGTAGAATATATCGTCTGTTTAGTAGAGTGATTTTTACTTGCATTTTTTAATTTTTTTTCTCTTGAATAACAACTAAGTTGAAACTTCTACTTCAAAAAAACAAAAAACAAAAAAAAAAAAACAAATAAACAAACAAACAAAGATGAAACTTCAAAAATTATAACTTGGTAAACGAAGTTAATACTTTTGTTATTTTAAATGTAAGTACTAGTAATTAATTTTGGATGTAAGCACTAGTAATTAAGGTGCAAAACATTTTTTTAATGAATTAAAATATCTTATTTAAATAAATTTATAATAGGCTCTATTGTGTGGTAGACATACTCTACTGTTCGGTATATTTGAGTAGTAAAGCTCTCTACTGCTCGCTCTACCTGGACTTGGTTGCAAAGTGGATTTTCATTAAAATAACCTTAATATTGCTAATTAATTAGTAGTTATTTTATACTTGATTTGAGTAGAGTGATTTTCATTAATTTATACTTGATTTGAGTAGTTATTTTATACCGAACAGACGTCTACCGCACAGTTGGTTCAATTTAATTTTTCTTCCATAATATTGCTAATTAATTAGTCACATTGATCATTCACACCAAATTGATGAAATTACATTAAAAAAACCAACTTAATGTACTACTACTTAAGAGATTCATTGTTTCTCCTCACTTTAGTAAGCTATGTTGATCAAAGTTATGCACTAAGACACTAACTACTAAGGTGAAATTTCAAAAATTCTAACTTAGTAGACGAAGTAAATAACTTTGTTATTTTAAATGTAAGCACTACTAATTAAGGTGCAAAACATTTTTTTACTGAATTAAAATAACCTTATTAATTAAATTTATAATGGGCTCGACTGTGCGGTAGACGTACTCAACTGTTCGGTAGACTCGAGAAGTAAAGCTCTCTACTGCTCGGTAGAGTATCTTGACTATTCAGTAGAGTAGACTTTCACTTGCTTTTTTTAGTTAAAAAACTTGCTTAAATCTACTTTTTCTTTATCCATCAAGACATCAACAAAAAGGTGAAAATTTGAAAATTCTAACTTTATAAATTAAGTAAATAGTTTTTTTAATTTTAAATGTAAGCACTAGTAAGTAAGGTGCAAAACATTTTTAATGAATTAAAATACCTTATTAATTAAATTTATAATGGGTTCGACTGTGTGATAGACGTACTCTACTATTCAGTAGATTCACGTAGTAAAGTTCTCTACTTCTCGGTACGATATCTCATCTTAGCAGTAGAGTGGATTTTCACTTGCTTTCTTTTAGTTAAAAAACTTGGTTCAATTTAATTTTTCTTGCATAATATTACTAATTAATTGGTCGCATTGATCATATCCACCAAATTGATGAAATTACGTCAAAAAAACCAACTTAATGCACTACTACTCAAGGGGTTCATTGTTTCTCCCCACTTTAGTAAGCTATGTTGATAAAAGTTACCCATCAAGACACTAACCACTAAGGTAAAACTTTAAAAATTCTAATTTGGTAAACAAAATAAATAATTTTGTTATTTTAAATGTAAGCACTAGTAATTAAGGTGTAAATTATTTTTTAATATATTGAAATACCTTATTAATTAAATTTATAACAGGCTTGACTGTGCGGTAGCCATACTCTTGTTCAGTAGATTCGAGTAATAAAGCTTTCTACTGCACGGTAGAGTATCTCAACTGGATAGTAAAGTATATTTCACTTGTTTTTTTAGTTAAAAAAATTGATTAAATTTAATTTTTTTTTAATAATATTGCTAATTAATTGGTCGTATTAATTATTCGCAGCTATATATATAAAAGAAAAATATCGTACTCATTGCCTCTATTTTACCCATAATTTAATTTCAATAAACACTTTGAGGAGTTGATTTTCTATGGAACTCTATTTCAATTTTCAGTGCTATGCAGGCCAAGGGTTAGCGCGATATGGCCCAGATGTTTTTAACGGGCTTTTGATCCAGTACGTCCACTGAGAAAACTGGGGCTAACTTCCGTATCACCACACTCGGACGCGAAACAAGGCCCATCAACGTATGGTTGTCGTGAGGTTCACGGCTGTTTGGCATTGCTTTTCGCAAGAACTTTTTTTTTTTTTTTTTTTTTTTTTTTTTTTTTTTTTTTTTTTTTATTTCTTTTTTTTTTTTGTTTT